CTGCCGCAACGGGAGATCAAATTGAGCCGGCCACTTGCATCGCAATTGTCAGCGCGCTCGCCGTTACGCCCACTGTGGCAGCATCCTGGCGTCGTCCTTCCTGCTGTGCTGCCTTATATCGTTGTCCCGTCTCATGATGAACACCCTCACGACCTAACCCATCCGTGCGTTATCCACCAACCCTCCGGATCCGTGGTTCACCACGCGCCGGCGCATCGCGTGCCACGTGGCGACACAGCGCCCCCCTACTAAAGGAAGGAGAGAGAACATCGACCGGGAGTAAAGGATTGGAGAGAGTACAGAGCGAATTTAAGGCTGAGTCGACTTCGGGGAAGTTCAAGATTTGGGTCCGATATCACTGACCGCTGATGGTAACCATGGACCGGAATCGAAGGCGGGTTCACCGAATTGAGTAGCGTATTGCACCAAGGCCGCAATTATAATATATATGATGGTGGTTATGGTTGTACTTTATTAATCCCTAATCTCTGCCATTACATACAATGAAACAAGAAAAGGTAAAAAAAGAAAAAAACAGAGCAATGTAATACAATACACTACAGTATTAGACATTATTGGAAAAAAATAATTAAAAGTCCATCCTATGTGTTAGTGAATTTTTTTATATTTTAGGCAGGAAATTCGTTTTCAAATTTAGATTTTTTTTTCTGGGGGGGGGGACCCCAGACCCCCTGGAAGATTTGGTCCCCCCCAATATTGACTCCATGGCTACGGCCTTGCATTGCACACACACAAATACAACAATCCCCCGTGTAGACTGCTGGGGCAAGTGCTGTTAGCGAGCACCTATGAAGGCCGGCACGGCGCACGAGGGGGTGGGTGGCCAACACCACGCACGGCCGCCTTTGTCACCAGGTACTCATTTCAGGCTGAGTCAACCTAGGGGAGGCCCAGAAACGGTTCAGATTACCGTCAATTTTTGTTGGCCGTGAGCGGGAATTGAACTCGGGTGGCCGGATTCGTAGCGCAAACGTAGCGCTAACCTTTGCAACTACCGCTCACCACCACCATCGCCACAGATTTTGCCGACTCGTATCATCGATTACATTCGATGCTCAACGTCCACGATGCAAGCCCCGTCGTCGTTATCGGCCACGGTCGATCCACTGCTGGATGAAGGCCTCCTCAGCCGTCGCCATCTGTCGTGATCCTGCAATGCGCTCCGCATGGCACCTGCACACGAGTTGATCTCACCATCGCTCCGTCTTCCCTCTGGACGTGCCCTCTCAGACGCGTTCCATCCTTCGACTGCCACTCCGCGATTAGTCTCGCCCACCGGCTGTGTGTCCGAGAGACGCACGAAGACGCAGACGCACGGGGACACATGAACACTGACACACGGGGACGCCGTGAGACACAGTGAAATACACGGGGACACAGGGAGATTACTATAAGACAGTGTACATCTATACATCTGTGGGAGTCTACAGTGTGAATCTGTGGCTCTATGTGTGAGTCTATGGGTTGCTGTGTAAGTATATGGATGTCTCTGTATGTATGTTAAACTTCTTTCGCACCGTACGTAGCCAACCGTGCTACTCGGAAGTGCTCAGCGTGGGTCTATGGGTCTCAGTATGAGTCTATAGCTCTCTGTGTTAGTCTATGAATTTCAGTGTGAATCTATAGATCCCTGTGTGAGTCTACGGCTGTGAATTTAGAAACAGTATTTCTGTGTGAGCCTATGGGTCTCTACGGGTCTTAGTGTGAATTTATAGATGCCCGCGTGAGTCGATGAGTCTCTATGTGAGTGTATTGTTGGTTCTATGTATCAAGGCCGTAGCCATGGAGTCAACATTGGGGGAGACCAAATCTTCCAGGGGGTCTGGGACCCCCCCCCCCCCAGAAAAAAAATCTAAATTTGAAAACTAATTTCCTGCCTAAAATATTTAAAAAATTCACTAACACATAGGATGGACTGTTTTTTTTATTTTTTACAATAATGTCTAATAGTGTATTGTATTACATTGCTCTGTTTTTTTATATTTTCTTGCTTCATTGTATGTAATGGCAGAGATTATGGATTAAAAAGTACAACCATAACCACAATCATATAAACAGAAATCTATTTTATAGCAATATATTGGGGGGGACATTTGGAGCATATTTGAATATTGGGGGGGATGTGTGTCCCCCAATATTTATTACAATTACGGCCTTGCTCTGTCTACATCTGTACATCTTTGCGTGAGTCTATGGATTGGCCGTGTGAATCTATAAATCCCTGTGTGCGTCTATAGATATTTATCTTCGTGTGATACTTTTACACTAAGGCGATTGATGGGGCAGATGATTGCGTCAGTAGTAGCAAGTGGAGTGGCGTCATCGCTGCCGTGACGATGTATCCTTCTCCTCCCACGTGTTTGTGAGCCCACGTTATCTGTCCCATGCATCTGTCCCACGTTATTTGTCCCATTGATCTGTCCCACGTTATTTGTCCCATGTCCTTGTCCAATGGCTTTGTCCCATGGCTCTGTCCCATGGATCTGTCCCACGTTATCTGTCCCACGTTATCTGTCCCATGGATCTGTCCCACGTTATTTGTTCCATGGCCTTGTCCAATGGCTTTGTTCCATGCACCTGTCCCACGTCATTTGTCTCATGTCTCTGTCCCACGTTATCTGTCCCATTGATCTGTCCCACGTTATGTCCCATGCATCTGTCCCACGTTATTTGTCCCATGCATCTTTCCCACGTTATCTGTCCCATTGATCTGTCCCACGTTATTTGTCCCATGGCCTTGTCCAATGGCTTTGTCCCATGGATCTGTCCCACGTCATTTGTCTCATGGCTCTGTCTCACGTTATCTGTCCCACGGCCCCTGTTCCGAGTGGTGGACAAAAGTCGACACTCACGCGCACCCCGCGAGTTCTAAATGTATCCCATTGGGAAATCGATGCAGGTGTTTGTGTTGACGTTTGAGGCTGAGTGGACCCCTACTGCCTCCTAGTGGCTCAACAGTTACGTAGATTATAAGAATAGGTTAAACCCTTTATAGCAATTAAACAGTTGTGCCAAGATGTTAAAACACCAAACTGAATCATGTCTACATTAACCACAAATAATTGTGAACATGAAAAAAAACACATGCTGTGGTAGTAAATGATGATGTATTGTCTTTGAAACTGATTGGTCCACACCAGAGACGGCTTTTTTATTTTATTTCTTAACCTGACGACGGCTGCTTGTGTTGTGTCCGAAACGTCGTGAGAATCTTATTGTCAAATTTTTATTATTTTATTATTTCCCTTCTACGTGACTTTCCCGAAAGATCCAAGAATATGAATCCCTGCAGTCACGAAAGCTTTAAATCGAAATTTAGAGACAGCTTTCTTTAGAGCCTCGTCTCAAACAGCGTTAGTCCAGAGGACGCCAAAAGGCGAACATCACAAAGATATCTACACTATGGGAACCTCATTTGCCAGTAAAAATATGATAATTGTTTTTTTACCCTTCTATCTGGCAACAAAACTGACACCTTTTTACAAGGAGTCATGTTTGCATAGACCACAATACCTGCAGTCATAATACAAACAAAAGACATAATTCTGATAATGTGCACTGTCCTTGAAGTTGATTGGTCCACACCCGAGACAGCTTTTATTAGAGCCTAGTCTCACATGGGTTGGACCAGATGACGCCATGTGAGACTAGGCTCTAAGGAAAGCTGTCTCGGGTGTGGACCAATCAATTTCAAGGAGAAGTGCATACATTATCAGAGTTATGTCTTTTGTTTGCATTATGACTGCAGGTATTGTGGTCTATGCAAACATGACTCCTTGTAAAAAGGTGTCAGTTTTTTTGCCAGATAGAAGGGTAAAAAAAACAATTATCATCACAAAGATAATGCCAGTCAAGACATTGAGAGCTCGGGGTGAGCAGCTACAAAGGTCAATCTGGTATGGACCAGAGACAGCTTTGTATATGATGCACTGTCAAATACAATGCATCATATACTACCACATCATGTTTTTGTTGTTGTTGTTGTTGCATGTTCACCACAAGTATGTGTGTGGTTAATGCAGACATGCTTCCTCGCAAAAGGTTTCAGTTTGGTGTTTTAACATCTTGACACCTCCTGTTTTATTGTCACAAAGGGTAAAATACTATTCTGATACTTTTATACTGGCCCATGATGTTGCAAAGATTGCGAATTAAAACGCGCAGTGCGTACACATGTACTGCATCGGTTACCTCATTGGTACTTGCACTACACTCGAATTGGTTGTGAGTTAAGATTGCAGATTATGTCTAAAAATCAATCAAGGGGGCGTCCATAAATGACGTCACGCGATTTTGGACGCTTTTTTACCCTCCCCCCTCATTAAAACATGCTTCAAATCGCTTTAAACTACTGTCATTGTAGTGCGTATTTAATGTGGCGCTGCACTCTGATGTTGTAGGAGAACACATTTATTAAAAAGTCTATTTAATTAAGTAGAACGTGTTGTCTATATTTAAAGTTGCGCATTTTGATGTGACGTCACATTTCTCCCCCCGTCACACAAATGTCTGACCCCCCCCCCCCCCTAGGTGCGTGACGTCATTTATGGACGGCCCTAAGTCTCCGGTCTAATTTGCGATGTTACCACCTTCATCACCGCAGCCCCACGTGATGTGGCGCGATGACGTCACCCCGCATCGCTTTTCCCGCCACTGTGACCGTGACGTCATCACGCACCTCATTAATGCCTCACGGTGGCGACGTCATCGCGTTAAAGAATTACGGGAGTTGTTGACGTCATCACGCACCGCGCTGCAATGATGGGGCGGCGTGATTTGTCACCCACAGCCCGAGTCAGTTAAACGCGTGGTGACGTCACCACGCTTTCACGGCGGTTGTGGAGAAAGCGCGATGACGTCACCACGCTTTCACGACACTTACAATTGAATGAGCGGATGACGTCGACACGCTCTTAACGGCGGCTGTGGAGAAAGCGCGATGACGTCACGGCCGCGTGCGTGATGCCGTCATCACGCACGCTTTGCGGCTGCGGTGACGCCATCACGCTCATCGTGGAGCGACGCGACCTGCCACGTCACGTGCCCCCTCCCCCACAACAACGCGGGGGGGGAGGGGGACGGCGGGGGGGGGCCCACGAGCTTGTGCTCCCATTGGCTGCGGCGCGCGCGACGTCTCTCGGGCCGGCGGGCCAATCGCGAGGCGGCGTGTGGGGGGGGGGGGGGGTCGTTCCGCAGTTGGGGGGAGGGGGGAGGGGGGCGGGGGGGGCCCACGAGCTTGTGCTCCCATTGGCTGCAGCGCGCGCGACGTCTCTCGGGCCGGCGGGCCAATCACGAGGCGGCGTGTGGGGGGGGGGGGAATGAAAATCCCGAAAGGGAACGCGGATCTGGAGTCGAGGGAACCAGAGCCGAGCCGAGAGCCAAGGAGGAGGAGGGAGAAAACCAGGGGAGTGCGATTCTGCCAGCGGTGTCCGAGCGATGGTGAAGTGGGCACGCAAGGGCAGAGCACATCATCCGGGGCAGAGCGAAACTGTGGCCCCATCGCGTAGGCGTACGGATCCCAACTAGGCCGGAGCGACGGGAGGGAACAGCGCGGAGCTGAACGGAACCGCTGTTGAGTAGAACCCCCCCACACACATCACCACCATCACCACCATCACCCCACGTCCACAACACCGGCGGGCAGAGTTACCGGGGAAACGAAGATCCCGAGTTTGTGAGAAGCGGGAACCACGCGGAAAACGGAACCAGATTCCGAACCAGAGCGAATCCGGTGGGGAGTTGGGGGAGTTGGGGGACCTTGGAGAGAGGCGAGCGAGACTCCAAAGCCAGAGAGAGAGACCCCCAGAGTAGCAGCGAGACTCCCCGCAATGTCTCCCCTCTTCCTCCTGCGCCTCGGCCTGCTCGCGGGCCTCGTGTGCGCGACCGTGAGCGGCCAGGGCCACGGGCACTCGCACGGTGGACAAGCCGGACACGGGCACACTCACGGTGGACAAGCCGGACACGTGCACACTCACGGTGGACAAGCCGGACACGGGCACACTCACGGTGGACAAGCCGGACACGGGCACTCGCACGGTGGACAAGCCGGGCACGGGCACACTCACGGTGGACAAGCCGGGCACGGGCACTCGCACGGTGGACAAGCCGGGCACACTCACGGTGGACAAGCCGGACACGGGCACACTCACGGGCCCGGCGGAGGCTGCCCTCACGGCCACGGGCCTACCAACCCGGCCGATAAGTACCACCAGAAGCACTACGAGACGGCCAAGACTCAGCAGCAGCAGCAGGGGCAGCAAGAGGAGATGGAGCTCCACGGGACTGAGAGGAGAGACGCGGCGACCGTGTGGATGCAGGTGAGGCCTGTCGCTGTGTGGATACGTGCAGAACGCCGGGTGGATAAAGCACAGCAAGTTGGTACAGTAGGAGGCACATGTGGTGCACCTAGCCTGTCACAGTAGGGGGGGCACAGGTGGTGCATCAGCCAGTCATCTCGGTCGTCTCAGTCAGTCGACCCGTGGCACCTGATGGGTCTGCCCCGTGACCTCCTCCTGCCAGTGGGTGTTCGACACTTTACGTGGCCTCAAGGTGCACATAGCCTGGCACAAGCGTCGTGGTGACGTCACCGCCACTTAGTGGCGAATGGAGGTCGTTGTTGTTGTTGTGTAGATGCAGGCGATGGCTGTCGCTGTGCGTGTCGCCGCGTCTTTCTGTCGGTTCAACCCGTGGCGCCGGCTGCGTTCTGCCCCGTGACCTCCTGCCAGTGAGTGTTCGACACTTCACGTGATAGCCTCAAGGTGCACATAGCCTGGCACAAGCGCCGTGGCAGGCGGCACTGCCGCTTAGTGGCGAATGGCGGTGGTTGTTGTTGTTGTTGTGGGGAGCGAGCGCCTCGGTGTTGCCGTGCCTCCACGTGTCGCGTGGAGCGGTGGCGCAGCGGTTAGCGCGACGAACCCTGCGACCCGAAATTCGAGTCCCGCTCACGATCACCCCCCAACAACTCCGCCGCCGCCGGTGGCGAATATATTTGGACCGCGGTCTCCTGCTCCTCCCCTAGGTCGACTCGGCCTTGAACGAGTACCCGGTGCGGTGTGGAAAAACATCGTCCACTGTGTGGAGGCAAAGGTGGCCGGGCGTGGTGCTGGCCACCCACACCCACTTCGTGTGCCGTGCCGGCCTTCATAGGTGCTGCTCGCTGACAGCAACTGTTTAAGGGGATCTTCGTCTTATTTTTTTGTGAGCGGTGGCGCAGTGGGTGAGCCAGCTTGAGTGGTGAATATCTGAACCGGTCTTGAGCCTCCCTCTAGGTCGACTCAGCCCTAAATGAGTAAGCCGGGGCAAGTGGGTCAGGCCACAAACCCGCTCGTACACCAAGCCAGCCTTAAAGCGCTTTGACTGTATGTTGAACTCCTTTGTTGAACATCCTTCGCGCACCGCACGTAGCCAACCAGGCACTTGCCCCAACAGTCTGTCGAAGTCGACACGGGGGGGTGCGGGGCACAGCGGGCAGTACACGTGGTGCAAACCACCAGTCGTCTCAGTCGACCCGTAACACCCCGTGACGCGCAGTAGCCGTCTATCCGTGTCCGCTGATCCGCCCCATGGCAGCCGGAGTGCTGACGTGTCTCTCCGTGTCCCCACGTGTCTCTCCGTGTCCCCACGTGTCCCTCTGTGTTCAGCGTCTCCACGTGCACCTTCCACGTCTCCCTCTCTCTCTCTCCTCGTGTGCCTCCGATTAGAACGGGTGGCTGCGTATTGCGCGAAGGAAGTTCATATATGTATAGATTAGTCCGTGCCTCCAGGTGTCCCTCCGTAGTTACACGTGTCTCCCGTCTCCACGTGTCCCTTGCTCTTTTTTTACTTCCTCAAGTCCCCGGCGCTTCTGTGCTGTCCCCATGTCTCCCCGTGTCTCACCATGCCGCCGTGTTTCCGTGTCTCACTGTGTCCCCGTGTCTCATCGTGTCGCGGTGTCTCAATGTGTCACCATGTCTCACCGTGTCGCCATGTGTTTCCGTGTCTTCTCCCCGTATCTCGCTGTGTCCCCACGTCTCACCATGCCCCGGTGTCTCGCCATGTCCCCATGTCTCACCGTGCCGCCGTGTGATTCCATGTCTCTTACCATGTCCCGGTATCTCACCGTGCCGCCGTGTTTCCGTATCTTCCCCCCTTGTCTCACTGTCTCCGTATCTTACTGTGTCTCCGTGTCTCACCATGTTCCCATGTCTCACCGTGCCGTCGTGTGTATCCATGTCTCTTACCATGTCCCCGTGTCTCACCGTGTCTCACCATGTCACCGTGTCTCACCATGTCACCGTGTCTCACCGTGTCCCCGTGTCTCACCATGCCGTCGTGTGTATCCGTGTCGTGTCCCCGTGTCTCACCGTGTCTCACCGTGTCTCACCGTGTCTCACCGTGTCCCCGTGTCTCATCGTGTCTCACCGTGTCCCCGCGTCTCACCGTGTCCCCGCGTCTCACCGTGTCCCCGTGTCTCACCGTGTCCCCGTGTCTCACCGTGTCCCCGTGTCTCACCATGCCGTCGTGTGTATCCGTGTCGTGTCCCCGTGTCTCACCGTGTCTCACCGTGTCTCACCGTGTCTCACCGTGTCTCACCGTGTCTCACCGTGTCCCCGTGTCTCATCGTGTCTCACCGTGTCCCCGCGTCTCACCGTGTCCCCGTGTCTCACCGTGTCCCCGTGTCTCACCGTGTCCCCGTGTCTCACCATGTCTCCCCGCAGGCCCTGGGCGCCACGCTGCTGATCTCCGCCGCGCCGTTCCTCATACTCTTCCTGGTGCCGCTCGACTCGGACTCGGCGCGTCGCTCCTCGCTGCTGCACACGCTGCTCAGCTTCGCCTCGGGGGGACTCCTCGGAGACGCCTTCCTCCACCTCATCCCCCACGCCATCGGTGACCGCAGCACCCGAGTGGCCTGCCTCCACACGGCGTGTCTCTGCGTGGCGTGTCTCTGCGTGGCGTGTCTCTGCGTGGCGTGTCTCTGCGTGGCGTGTCTCCACACGGCGTGTCTCTGCGTGGCGTGTCTCCACACGGCGTGTCTCCACACGGCGTGTCCTCTGCGTGCGTGTCTCTGCGTGGCGTGTCTCTGCGTGGCGTGTCCTCTGCGTGGCGTGTCTCGGCGTGGCTTGTCTCTGCGTGGCGTGTCTCTGCGTGGCGTGTCTCTGCGTGGCGTGTCTCCGCGTGTCTCTGCGTGGCGTGTCTCCGCGTGGCGTGTCTCCACGTGGCGTGTCTCCGCGTGGCGTGTCTTTGTGTGGCGTGTCTCCACACGGCGTGTCTCCGCGTGGCGTGTCTCTGCGTGGCGTGTCTCTGCGTGGCGTGTCCTCCGCGTGGCGTTCTCCTCGTGGCGTGTCTCCGCGTGGCGTGTCTCCGCGTGGCGTGTCTCCACACAGCGTGTCCGTGGCGTTCCTCCCGTTGCGTGGCGTGTCTCTGCGTGGCGTGTCTCTGCGTGGCGTGTCTCTGCGTGGCGTGTCTCTGCGTGGCGTGTCTCTGCGTGGCGTGTCTCTGCGTGGCGTGTCTCTGCGTGGCGTGTCTCTGCGTGGCGTGTCTCTGCGTGGCGTGTCTCCGCGTGGCGTGTCTCCTCGTGGCGTGTCTCCGCGTGGCGTGTCTCCGCGTGGCGTGTCTCCACACAGCGTGTCTCTGCGTGGCGTGTCTCCACACGGCGTGTCTCTGCGTGGCGTGTCTCCGCGTGGCGTGTCTCCTCGTGGCGTGTCTCCGCGTGGCGTGTCTCCGCGTGGCGTGTCTCCACAAGCGTGTCTCTGCGTGGCGTCTCCACACGGCGTGTCTCTGCGTGGCGTGTCTCTGCGTGGCGTGTCTCTGCGTGGCGTGTCTCTGCGTGGCGTGTCTCTGCGTGGCGTGTCTCTGCGTGGCGTGTCTCTGCGTGGCGTGTCTTGCGTGGCGTGTCTCCGCGTGGCGTGTCTCTGCGTGGCGTGGCGTGTCTCACACAGCGTGTCTCTGCGTGGCGTGTCTCACACGGCGTGTCTCTGCGTGGCGTGTCTCCACACGGCGTGTCTCTGCGTGGCGTGTCTCTGCGTGGCGTGTCTCTGCGTGGCGTGTCTCTGCGTGGCGTGTCTCTGCGTGGCGTGTCTCTGCGTGGCGTGTCTCTGCGTGGCGTGTCTCTGCGTGGCGTGTCTCCGCGTGGCGTGTCTCTGCGTGGCGTGTCTCCACACGGCGTGTCTCTGCGTGGCGTGTCTCCACACGGCGTTTCTCTGCGTGGCGTGTCTCCACACGGCGTGTCTCTGCGTGGCGTGTCTCCACACGGCGTGTCTCTGCGTGGCGTGTCTCTGCGTGGCGTGTCTCCACACGGCGTGTCTCCACACGGCATGTCTCTGTGTGGCGTGTCTCCACACTGCGTGTCTCCACACGGCATGTCTCTGCGTGGCGTGTCTCCACACGGCGCGTCTCTGCGTGGCGTGTCTTTGCATAGCATTTTCTTGCTGTGGATTTCACACCTGATGATGATTGCTTGTGTTGCAGTCGAAACGTCGTGAGAATTTTTTAATGTTTTATATTTTTATTATTTTATTATTTCCTTTCTACGTGACTTTACCGAAAGAACCATATGATTTGTTGTGTCTCCGTGTATCTCAGAGCCGCACTCTCACCACTCGGAGTCCGGACACGGACACGGACACGGCGAGACGCACAACCAGGGACACGGACACAGCCACGGTGAGACAACACGGACTGCGTGTGTGTGTCATGGGTGGAAAAAACTCGATTTTTCCAGCGGCAGACATCGAGTTTTTTCTTTAATACAATTGAACCCGATTTCGGGGAATTAAAGCCTGGTTTAATGAATACGAAACTCTGATCCGAGGCTTAGGCTGCTTCCTTCGTCGGTGCTACTATCGTACTCGGGGGGCCGTCGGGCACGGGGTAGTCGTTGAATGCGGCGGGCAGGTTGGTCTTGATGAACACGAGCTTCTCCTCCACAATCGTGGGCGCCGCCAGTGAGTTCCTTACTGGCGGCGTTGAGAAGTTGGCGAAGTGCGGTTCTGCAATTAGAACAAATTAAACCGGATTTCTCCCAATCTCAGATGATCTTGTTTAATATAAAAAGACAATTAAACCCGATTGTAAAAAACCCGACTGTGCCACCCTTGGTGTGTGTATATCTCACGTGACCTTTTTTTCCATTATCGAAGTATGAAAAATAAGAATTGGTTTTACCCTTTCCGGCAATGAAACAGGAGCTGTTAAGATGTTCTAACACCAAACAGAAACCTTTTGCAAGGAATCAAGTCACTGCATTGACCACCCGTACATGTGGTGAACACACAAACAAACATGCTTCTAATTCTAGATTTGAAGCTTTCGTGACTGCAAGGATTCATACTCTTAGTTTTTTCGGTAAAGTCACGTAGCAAATCTGGCTGTGACGGTCCCACCTGATGACGGAGACTTGTGTTGCCTCCGAAACCTCGTGATTTTTATTATTTTATTTTATTAATTTTAATTTCATTTTTTTACCTACATGACTTTACCGAAAAAACTAAGAGTATAAACATGCTTTTGATAATGTAGGCCAATCGGTTTTAAAGGCAGCGCATTTATTACCAGAGCATACGTGTCAACCCATACGGTTTACCCATATTCTTGTGCAAGGAAATTGAGTTTTCAGGTCCATATGGGACTTTGCAGGATGATCGTTGAGATTTAAAAGGGCACGGCGTGACCAATAAGCTCTGAATTGATCTGTAATAAGGTCGGCACTGATAAGGGGTTGACAGGGATGCCAGAGGATGTTTGTTTCCATGTTCACCACAAGTACGTGTGGTTAATGCAGACTTGATTCCTAGCAAAAGGTTTCTGTTTGGCGTTTGAACATCTTAACAACTGTTTTAATTTCAGTCAGGGTAAAACCTCTTCTTACTTTTCATACTGTGTGTGTATACATTGCTGCGTGCCTACGTGTGTCTGTGTCTGTGGTTTTTTGTGGATATGTATCTCAAGTCAATCAACCCATGGCACCTGGGTCTGTCCCGTGACCTCCTGTCAGCGAGCCCCTTCCACACTCCACGTGGCCTTCGAGGTGCACCTAGCCTGGCACCACTTAATGGCGAATGGCGTCTGTTGTTGCTGTTGTTGTCCGTGTGTGTCTTTGCCTTGTGTGTGTATCTGTGTGTGCGGGAAGCGGTGACGCAGTGGTGAGCGCACTGCGCTACGAACCCGGCAACCTGAGTTGAATTCCCACTCACGGCCAACACCAGTGATGTTTATCTGAAATGATGCTGGGCCACACCTAAGTACCCGGTGCGGTGTGTAAACATCGCCACTGGGGAAACAAAGGCGGCCGGGCGAATATGGTGTTGGCCACCCACCCCTTCGTGCGCCGTGCCGGTCTTCATAGGTGCTACTCGCTAACAGCACTTGCCCCAACAGTCTGTTAAGGCTACACGGGTGGGGGGGGTCATTGTCTTTGTTTGCAGGCCCTGGCTCGCACCTCATGTCCGTGGGCCTCTGGGTTCTGTGCGGAATCATCGTCTTCCTCTCCGTGGAGATGTTCGTGAGACACATCAAAGGGAGCCATGGACACGGCCACAGTCACGGTCACGCTCACGGTGAGTCACTGTCAGTCACGGGAGAGCAGTCGCGGTGCTTATAGTCACAGACACGGGTATAGCCACGGCATAGGCGTGTTCACTGTCATCGTCTTTGCAAGGCATAGTCCCGGACGAAGTGTGAGATCACGAATCCACACGTGTGTGCGTGTGTGTGTGCGTGTGTGCGTGCGCACGTGTGTGCGTGCGTGTGTGTGTGTGCGTGTGTGTGCGTGCGTGCGTTGTGTGCGTGCGTGCTGTGTGTGAGTGTGTGCGTGCGTGTGTGTGTGTGCGTGCGTGCGTGTGTGCGCGTGCGTGCGTGTGTGCGCGTGCGTGCGTGTGTGCGCGTGCGTGTGTGTGTGCGTGCGTGTGTGTGTGCGTGCGTGTGTGTGCATGTGTGTACGTCCGAATGTAAGTTGGGAAGTGGTGGCGCAGTTGTTGGCACGGTGCGCTACAAACCCGGCGACCCGAACTCGATTCCCTCTCACGGTCAGAATGAGAACATTTATTGATACTGGAGGAATCCGATGAGCTATGAAGCTCTTTTTCACAGATGTCCAGTAGTCGACATCGGTGGCGACTGTCTGAACCGGTCCAGGGCCTGCCCCTAGATCGACTCAGCCTTAAATGAGTACATGTTCCGGCGTGTAAACATCAACACTGGGGGAGACAAAGGTATGTGGCCTTGGAGTGGTGCTGGACACCCTCCCACGTCGTCGTGTGCCGTGTTACTCGCTGACAGCACTTGCCCCAACCGCCTGCGCGGGCTACACAGGGGACCTTTGTCTTTGTGTGTGCGGCGCGCAGTCGAGAAACGAGAGAAGGGAGCGAAGAAATCGGATAAAGGGGACGGGGAGGGGGAGGTGGTGGAGGGGGAGGAGGTGGTGGAGGGGAAGGAGGTGGTGGAGGGGGAGGTGGAGGGGGTGCGGAGGAGACGCCCGGACCCAGCCAGCCCCCAGGAGGGGGAGGTGGCTCCTGCAGACGGGGGCCAGGGGGGGGGCCCAGGAGGGAGGGGCTGAGAAGAGGGAGGAGGAGCCCAAACGTGAGTGACGCGTGTGTCTCCGTGTCCCTGTGTGTCGGTGTCCTTGTGGTTCTGACTCCGTGACCCTATGTCTGTGTCATCAGTTCCCCACGTGTCCCCGTGTACCTGTTTTCTAATGTCTTCCAGGGTCATCATTTCGCCGAGTCCCCGTGTGTCTGCGTGTGTCCGCGTGTCCCTGTGTGTCCCCCCGTGTGTCTGCGTGTGTGTCCGTGTGTCCCTGTGTCCCCCCGTGTCTGCGTGTGTGTCCCTGTGTCCGCGCGTGTGTCCGCGCGTGTGTCCGCGCGTGTGTCCGCGCGTGTGTCCGTGTGTCCCAATGTATCCGCGTGCGTGTAAGGAGAACCACACGTGTCCAGCTGCTTGAACCTTGTCCCCCGCGTCTCGCCCGCGTCTCCAGGAGAGCTGCAGGTGTCGGGCTACCTGAACCTGGCAGCGGACGTGACGCACAACTTCACGGACGGCCTGGCGATCGGGGCCTCCTTCCTGGTGGGGCCCAACGTGGGCGTGGTGACGACGCTCACCATCCTGCTGCACGAGATCCCCCACGAGATCGGCGACTTCGCCATCCTCCTGCAGTCGGGCTGCACCAAGAGACAGGTGGGAGGGGTGGGGAGGGACGGGGGGGGGGGGGGTTGAGCAGTTCCTGGGCCTCCCCTAGGTCGACTGCGTGGTGCGGTGTGTAGTAAACATCGCCTCTGGGGAGACAAAGGCGGCCGGGCGTGGTCCTGGCCACCCAACCTCTCCTGTGCCGCGCAGGCCTTCATAGGTTCTGCTGCTCGCGAACAGCACTTGCCCCACCAGTGTGTGAAGGTTATATGGGGAGGGGGGACCTTTGTCTCTGCACGAGTGTGCGAGTGATGGTGGGCTCCAAGAAGCAAGTCAGGGAGGACGATGATGATGACATAAATAATAAAGATTTTTAGGTTAGATCCCGTAAGTATAAATGTGTCGTAACCCTCCACCACCCGACACAGCCAATTAGTAAGGGATTTGTCACGTAAACAACACACAAATTGGTGACTACTTCAGCCCACCGATGTTGGAGAGTAAATCTACGTTTACAATTTGAGTTCAATAACGTTTCGCTGGTAATTACATCCAGCATTACTGGGCGATTTGCCATAATAGCGGTAGGTTTTGTTTACGTGCCAAATCCCTTACTAATTGGCTGTGTCGGGTGGTGGAGGTTTACGACACATTTATACTTACACGATCGAAACGTCGTGATTTATTTTATTTTCTACCCACGTGACTTTACCGAAAGAACCAAAGAGTATGGATTCCTGCAGTCACGAAAGCTTCAAATCAAGATTAACCCAACAACCTTTATTATTAATGACATCGGCCGCGAAAGCCAACTACACGTTAAACTGATGATGATAATAACGAATGATGCTGCTGATGACGACGATGACGATAACCACGGTTATAACAACGATGACGAAGTTGACGACGATGACATCTCCCCCCACCCCACCGCACCCCGACGCAGGCCATGTGGCTGCAGCTGTTGACGGCGGTGGGCGCCCTGGCGGGCACGGCGTGCTCGCTGCTGGCGGAAGGGGCTGGCGAGGCGGCCTCTGCGTGGGTGCTGCCTTTCACTGCGGGCGGCTTCATCTACATCGCCACCGTCTCCATCCTGCCCGAGCTGCTGGGCCGAGCCGCGCCCCTCGCTCAGTCCGCCCGACAACTCGTCGCCATGCTCACCGGCGTCGCCATGATGGTGCTCATCGCCGCGTTCGAGTAATGCGGCGGTGTGGGGGGGGATGTGAGGATGGGGGGGGGGGTGCTGGGGTGATGCGAGGAGGATGCCCGTGAATGGGGAGAGGAGTATCAATGGCCGTGATGTGGGCGGGGAGAGGATGGGAGTGATGGGCGAGTGATGGAGGGGATGGAGCCATGGTGGGGTGAGGGGGTGGAGGGGGCAGGAGTGATGATGAGAGGATGGAGAGGGTGTGTTGAGAGAGTGGCGGTCTCCGAGGGGTGTTGTCTGTGGCTGTAACGGAGTGCAAGTGTCGGTGTGTAGGGTGTGTGTCCGTGCTCCCGTGTGTCCTTGTATTGGGTGTCTGTCTGTCACAAAGTGGATTCTCATCATTCCATAGTTAAATGTGTGTATGTGTGACTCTGGGTTTGTGTTTGTGTGCACATGTCTGGGTGAGTGTGTGTATCTGCGAGTGTCCGTGTGAGTCTGCATGTGACTTTGTATGATCTGCAATCTCTTTTAATTCAAACGCTCCGCGTGTGGGAGACGGTATGAATTTGTCCGAGCGTTTCCGTGCGTGTCAGTGTGTTGGGGAGCGGTGGCGCACCGGTTAGCGCACTGCACTACGATATGAGCGAACCGAGTTCAATTCCCGGACCACAGCTGACAAGGTCAGCGAGTGACATTTGCACCCGGCTCAAGGCTTTACCCCCCCTAGGTCGACTCGGCCTTAAACGAGTGCCTGGTGCAGCGTGCACACGTCAGCACTGGGGGAGACAAAGGCGGCCGTGTATAATGCTGGCCACAATACCCCCCCCCTCCTGTGCCGTGTCGGCCTCCATAAGTCGCTCGTTAACATCGCTTGCCCCAACAGTCTGTAGAGGCTACATGGGGGACCTGTGTGTGTGTGTGTCGGTGTGGGTGGACTAACACAAGGGGTGCGTGTGTGTGCGTCAACACACACCACAGGTTTACACACCCGCGCATGCTCTACACGTACACACACCCGCACAACGTTACACGGTCTCCTATATCATGTGAATGCCTGATCTGTAACGAGGCCCCAGTTTACGCGAATAAATCTCCACGCAATTTTGGCCGACCAGTGTGTGTGTGCGTGCGCGTGTGTGTGTGCGTGCGCGTGTGTGTGTGCGTGCGCGTGTGTGATGAGTGAGCGGTGGCACTGCGGTCAACGCACAGCGCTACGAACCCTCTGACTAGAGTTCGATTCGCGATCACAATTCCAATAGCCGGCGAATATCTCAACTGGTCCTGGGCCTCCACCATGAAAGTGAAAGGCCACTCTGCGCTGCTGGTCATCCATCCATGCCGCGTCCCATTCCGGCCCACAGAAGTGCCGTTCGCTAAGGGCACTTGCCCCAACAGTCTGTGTGCGCAGTTTGTATGTTCTCTCCCCCTGTTCTGCATGGGTTTCCTCCGGGCTCTCCGTTTTGACTTCCGTCGCTAAAAGTTACCCGCCCACCCACCCACAGCGTGAAACCTGTGATGGTCAAAAACATCCCAGTCACTGCTGAAGATCCCCTGCAAGTCACTCGACGTGTGACCCCCGCACAGTAGCAGCAAGATCACCCCCCTCCCTACTGCGAGAACTTGGCAAGACCCTCCTGAAAAGAGGCTCTTGAGACTCGAGGCTTTCCTGCGGCTCCACGCACGGCGAGAGGTCATGTTGAGCTGACGACAACCTTGCCCCACCAATTGTTTGGCTACGTACGGTGCAGAAGAAGTTCAACATGCATACAGCGGAAGGTTTTTTGAGAACGATGACTGTCCTTGACCCCTGTTCACGCGTGCGCACTCGCTACGACCAATCAGACGCCAGAGAAATGAAAGCGAACTCCAGGACGGGGTCGGGTCGGGTCGCGGCTCCGCACGACGGCGACTTTAATTCGGCAATGGCCGCCAACGCGTGACCTCGTTTCTCACCGCGAAACATTCACCACACGCGGCGGACAAATGAACAACGGTTGCCTGGTGGGGCGGCCACAGGAGGCGGCCACGGGGGGCGACTCAGAGAGAGGGGACGACTCGGGAGACGCCAGGAGGAGGAACCACAGACGAGGAGCGGGAAGGCAGCAGCAGTAGCAGCAGTAGCAGCAGGAGCAGCAGCAGGAGCAGCAGCAGGAGCAGCAGCACCAGCAGTAGCAGCAGCACCAGCAGTAGCAGCAGCAGTAGCAGCAGCAGCAGTAGCAGCAGCAGTAGCAGCAGTAGCAGCAGCAGCAGCAGCACCAGTAGCAGCAGCAGTAGCAGCAGCAGTAGCAGCAGCAGCAGTAGCAGCAGTAGCAGCAGCACCAGCAGTAGCAGCAGCAGCAGTAGCACCAGCAGTAGCACCAGCAGCAGCAGCCACGCGGTGGTGAGAAGCCGCCGGCGCTACCAACGATTTCCCGCCGAGCTCTGTGGTCCTCTTCACATCGTGAGGAGCTATCGTCCGATGAAACCCACTCGTGTGAGGGGGCGACAACACACACGATCCCCATGCACATGGAGCGGGTGGAGTCCACACTTTGCTGGACCGCCTTCTCTTGGCAGAGCCAGGATACGGGCTCCTCGTTGACACCCATCCAGGGTAAGAAGGGAGTTTCGCAGGACTTGTGGATGATCCACCAACCTTTGCTACTGCCTCCACAGTTCCAGAGCACAGCCACCGCCAGCACCCGGCTACGGCGAGCAGCGGTATACTGGACGTGGTGTGCCGGGTCACGGACCCGGGCGGGCGCAGCTGAGGCTGTGCGCGCTACAATAAGCTGGGACGACGACGACGCCGCCGTGTGGTGCAGTGGTCAGCAGTAGCAGCGCAGCTGGGGCCGTGACCCCCCAGAGGTCAACGGTTTGATTCCATCTCCCGGCGTGGCAGTTGAAAGGTGGTGGGCGAGATTATTAAATCCTCCTCCCCCCCCCCAACCTCTGCCCACCCAGCAGCAGCAGCACAGACGATATCCACCGCAGTTCGTCTGCGATCCACAGGTCCGTGACAACGTCCGCGCCCCCCGGTGGAAGAGCAGGCCAGAACGCCCCTCATCGAGCGTCGTCGCGGCCGCTGTCCGCTAGAGCTCGTCCCGGGAGGCGGCGACCCCCACGACGCCCGACCCCCCTCGCACCCCGGGCCCCCTTGGCGCCCCGGGCCCCCCCCGCCAGCGACCCCAGCGACCCCAGCGACCCCGCCTGGTCACCGCTGCCGCCACCGCCGTCGCCCCAGAGCGCGGAGGCCTCGGTGTCGCTGACGTAGAGCGCCTGGCCCGCGTAGTGCGACGGGTAGACGAGCAGCGGCTCCAGCGAGAACGCGAGCAGGTCGCGCGGGGAGAACGGGGCGCAGTACTCCCTCCTGGGGGGCACGCGCAGTGGGGGGTGGGGGCACACGGGTAGTACAGGCGGAGACGCGGTAGGTAAGTGAGTCACGTGGGGTGTTTGTACCACGTGGCGGGTAGCCGAGTCACTCACGAGGGGTGTTTGTACCACGTGACGGGTAGGTGAGTCACTCATGTGGGGTGTTTGTACCACGTGGCGGGTAGGTGAGTCACTCACGTGGGGTGTTTGTACCACGTGACGGGTAGGTGAGTCACTCACGTGGGGTGCTTGTCGTACATGACGGGCAGGAACTCGTCCACGGGCACCATGCGGCTGAGGGGCTGCGCCAGCAGCAGCTTCTGCGCGCCGCGCAGCGACAGCGCGTAGCTCAGCGTCCAGTAGGAGTAATCGGGCACCACCAGGGCCCGCACGCCCGGCACCGCCGCCTCGGGGCGCTCCACCTGCATGCGCTTGCGCCCCACGTAGCTGCGGCCGCCAGCCGTGAACGGGAGGGGGTGGGGCACAGACAAAGACAGAGGTCACCTGCGTAGCCTTTAGCAGACTGTCGGGGCAAGTGCTGGTAATGCTTGTACGGTTAAGACAGGCGATGATTATGACGACGACGACGATGATGATGATGCCGATGACCGGGGAGCGACGGTGTTGGGGGGGGTCAGTTGACCACGCACATGAGGTCCCACTGCAGCCCCTGCGCCGAAACCTCGGCCATCGTGAGCTCCAAGCGGTGGCGGAAGTTCTGCTCGAAGCGGCAGTCGTCCTCAAAGAGCAGCACGGAGCTCAGGCCCCGGGACACCACCTGGGTGGGGGGACAGGGGTAGGGACGGCACGCACGTTAGACGACGCTATGGGGTGACACACGCACCACGGAGTCAGGGCTAAGGCTGGCGTGAGGGCACCAGCGCAAGGGTTGGGGCTCCCGTGGGGTCACGCGTGGGGTCACCTGCTCCCACACGCGGTGGTGGCTCAGGAAGCAGCCGATCTCGCCGCGCGTCAGCAGCCGCCGGCCGGAGTACGGCTCCCAGTAGCCGGGCAGCATCGCCACCCCCATGGCCCGCAGCGCCTCGTCGCTCAGCGTGCTGCTCGCACACACACAGCAGGCGGCATCATAGCGCGCACACACACAGCATGCACGCACACAGCATGCACGCACACAGCATGCACGCACACAGCATACACACACACAGCATGCACGCACACAGCATGCACGCACACAGCATACACACACACAGCATGCACGCACACAGCATGCACGCACACAGCATACACGCACACAGCAGGCGGCATCATAGCGTGCACACACACAGCATACACACACACAGCATGCACGCACACAGCATACACACACACACAGCATACACACACACAGCATACACACACACAGCACACACGCACACAGCATACACGCACACAGCAGGCAGCATCATAGCGCGCACACACACAGCATACACACACACACAGCATACACGCACAGCATACACACACACAGCACACACGCACACAGCATACACGCACACAGCAGGCGGCATCATAGCGCGCACACACACAGCATACACACACACAGCATACACGCACACAGCACACACGCACACAGCATACACGCACACAGCAGGCGGCATCATAGCGCGCACACACACAGCATACACACACACAGCATGCACGCACACAGCATGCACGCACACAGCATGCACGCACACAGCATGCACGCACACAGCATACACACAGCATACACACACACACAGCATACACACACACACATACAAAGTGTGCACGCACACATAGCGTACTCTCACACATATCATCCACTCACTCACGAATCTCCCTACCTCAGTCACTCACTCATCCATCATCTTTTCCTCCATTTCTCAATCACGTATATCTCCCGCCCTCAGGGTTCAGGGGAGAGAGAGGGGGGGGAGAGAGGGGGGGGAGAGAGAGGGGGGGAGAGGGGGGGGAGAGGGGGGAAGAGGGGGGGGGGAGAGGGGAGGGAGAGAGGGAGAGGGGGGAGGGGCGACCCACGCTCCGTCCACGCCGTCGACGACGCTGGCGTCGATCTGGAGCTCGCCCAGCGAGTGCAGCATGCGGGCACGGCGCTCGGGACGACGCTGGAGGTTAATCAGGAACACCTACACAGGTACACACACACACACACGCGTGGGTACACACACGCACACTGACACACACACGCGTGGGTACACACACGGGCATGCAAGTACACACACGCGTGGGTACACATGGGCACGCATGGAACACACTGGCACGCGGGTGTCGGTGTGTCCGTGTGCTTGTGCGTGCTTGTGTGTCCGTGTGTCCATGTGCTTGTGTGTCAGTGTGTCCTTGTGTCTGTGTGCTTGCGTGTCTGTGTGCTTGTGTGTCGGTGTGTCCGTGTGCTTGTGTGCTTGTGTGTCTGTGTGCTTGTGTGTCGGTGTGTCCGTGTGCTTGTGTGTGCTTGTGTGTGTTGGTGTGTCCGTGTGCTTGTGTGTCGGTGTGTCCGTGTTCCCGTGTGGCCGTGTTCCTCACCTCATCAAATCCCATCTTGTCCGCGTGCTTGGGTGGCATGGAGATGAAGGGAGACGGAGTGGGCGGTGGCTGATCGACTGTGATGCACACAGTCACGCACACGCACAGTCACGTACACAGTCACGCACACAGTCATGTACACACACACAGTCACGTACACGTTCATGCACAGTCAGTCACGTACACACACAGTCACGCACACAGTCACGTACAGTCAGTCGCGTACACACTCACAGTCACGCACACAGTCACAGTC